GGTGCTGACGCCGAGAGGGGCGGCATCGCGAAGAACGGTGCCAAACTCGTCACTGCAGTGGCGTGTGCGGAGGTCCCGAAGTTCACCGTCGTGGTGGGCTCGTCCGCTGGGGCAGGCAACTATGGCATGTGCGGACGGGCATATTCTCCTAGATTCCTGTGGATGTGGCCGAACGCGAAGATTGGCGTGATGGGTCCAGATCAACTTACTGCGGTGATGGAGACAGTCGGCAAGTCGGTCGACGTCGGCTTGAGGGACAGGATTGAACGGGAGAGTGATGCTTGCTTCTCGAGCGCACGGCTCTGGGACGATGGCGTCATTCATCCCAGTCAGACGAGGGATATGCTGGGCATGGGGTTGAAGGCTGCGCTGGGAGGGAAGAACAAGATCGAGGAGGAGAGCACTAGATTTGGCGTTTTCCGGATGTAGACCTTGCATGTGACACAGTGTGCTCATCTCACGGCTCGCAGATCAATCGGACGGCCCTGATTTCACGATGCCTTATGGAGGATCAGCTGACGCGATGAGGCAGCGAGAGAGACAGATGTCAAGGAGTGAACAAGCGTGCACGGGCGGATAACAGCACCTCTTTTCGACGTGAGTCGGTAAGTCTAGAACCTTTTCCTTCGCCCAACTCTCCGGAACCGTACCAGCCAAATGCGTCCAGCTTGTTGTTACATCGGATACCCACAAAGCGTTTTCCCTGCCGCCAGAATGCAGTGTGTGCTGACTTTGAAATCAGAAATCAGGTCATAAGATGACGCATCTATCACGGTTTCTTTGCCTCCTGCCCCTTCTGTCATGGCGATTTGGCCTGTCCCTCCGCCGCTGAGCGGCCTGGGACTCGGCGAACGCAGTCCTCGCGCCTTCCTTGTCAATGATTTGCGCACAGAGGTTTAGAAAAACTTCGTCAACGTTCGTCCTCCGGCGCGCACTCGTCTCGTAGTACGGCTTCTGACCCCAACTCTGGGCGAGTTGGAAAGCCTTTGCACGGGGCACCACTCGATCATCTTCCATGTCGGATTTGTTGCCCACGACAACCAGCGGGATGTCTTCATCGTCTTTGATTCGGATGATCTGCTCGCGGAGTTCGGCAAGTTCATAGAATGAGTTCATATTGCAGATGGAGAAGACGAGGAGGAAGCCTTGGCCTTGTTTCATATAGAGCTCGCGCATGGCGGTGAATTGCTCAGTACCGGCTGTGTCGAGGCTGGAGAGAGTGAAGCTCGGTTAGCATGTGTTCAAGATGCGAAATGCGCCCTCGTACACATTCTCACTTGTGGTACATGTGGAGTTCAGAAGAGTTGGGGGCGGGCGTGAGGGAGTTCTTACATTTCCAGCATAACCTGGCGACCGTCCACATTGACCTGTTTCCGGTATGAATCCTCGATGGTGGGATCGTAACTTTCGATCCAGACATTCTGGACGAATTGGGCTGTGAGACAGCTTTTGCCGACACCACCAGCACCAAGCACAACAATGTGGTATTCTCGTCTGTGACCACGGATTTCCATTAGCCAACGGACCAGACCTTCTTGAAGAGGGGACGAAAACCATCAGGGAGCCGGACGACTGGTGGCGTGCAGAACATACCTGGGCTGCAAACTCATGCTTACTCTCCTCCACGGACTTCCACCACACCTTTGCGAAATTCTAACACAACGGGTCGGAAATGAAATCTGCTCTCCGGTCGGGTTTCGTCGACTACATCTCAGAGTCCGCGTTTCTCCTCGTCAACCCCGCAATGGAAGGAAATTGTGCAAGAATAGAAACCGGCTCAGAGGATGTTGAAGTGATTGCGACCCGGCGAAATTATCTGTCTGTCCGTTCTCGATGGTGCAAATGCCCGGGATAAGACGCAGGTGTAATTGTCGTTGAGCCCGAATTAGGGGGCACTTTTGGTGATTTGTGCGCGAGAATGACTGAAGCGGGAAAGCGTGCAGTGCTGCCAAATTTGGCTTTTTTGTGTGCGTTTGTCGATGCCTTATTCGACGCCTCGTCTCGTGGCAGTATGTTTACAGGCGACAGAACACGTCGGATGACTCTCAGCTCAGGTGCGACGGCGAAAGCGTTCGTCACGAGTGACTGGCTCGCATCATCCAGCGAGGAATAGATCGTGTCCGGCTGTGTTTTGTGCTTCGACCTGTGTGGCTCGCCTCGTTGGATCCTCTAAGCAAGGGAGATGTGGTTATGGCGGTGGCAACGAGCTTCGTTGGACGTCGTGAGGAAACGACAAGTCTTTTGTTCATCGACCAAGTGGATCACGTCCTTTACATAATCCCTGGCCGATTTTCGCCAGAATTACTGGGGTCTGCCGCTGGTGCAGCCAGATTGGGCTCCAAAGTGGCTGCCGTCTGGCTCGAGGTACCGAAGTCGGCCAGGATCAGCCTGTACAGCGATTTGTCGACGGCGACCCTGGAAGATGGAAAATTTGAGTTTTCGATCCAGATCGAGCGGGCCTTCGCTGGTAGGTTGGTCGGTGTCGCGGTCGATGCCCGAGGATGCTTTCTTTAGCCGCTGGTGACGACGATGATTCACCCACCTCCTGTCCCTCCGCTGCTGGTCTCGTGTCGCACAGCAGCCAGGAACGTGTCAGGGATATTTCGGTACGGGGACGAAATGGGAGGGCCAGCTCTGTGTGTGATGACTCTATTGGCCTCTTGCTCGCCTCATCGAAAATTCTCCGCCCACGGCCTGCTAGCCACGAGGCAGCCAGGGGCCGAGGTCTCTCTTGCTCGAAGCAGCATGGGCGCTCTAGGTGTCTTACTTAGCTACTGATTGTTTGGGACCGGGGATGCCTTCCGTATGGTCCGATGTGGCCTGCTACCCGGCCCCGGCATTGCATTTCGGTCTCCCGATGTGCATCTCCGTCGTCGTCGGCGCGCACTTTGCAGGCACCATTGCGGAATGACACACCCGAGGAAGTAGCTCCAGCAGGTGTCAAGAATGTCGCGTCGCTTCTGGTCCTCTAGCCACCGCGCTCCCTTTGACCGCCCTGTTCCTGCCACTGGCATGAAGGAAGCCGACTTCCCAATCCCGACTGGCCCTGCCTCAAGACCATCCAGCAAAAGTTACTGCAGCGATCATCGCAACGTCGTACTTGAGAGTGCTGATCACCACTCTTCCCAGCTTCGCGAGACTGTTTGACGCTAGCCATGGCCGCTACGAAGCAGTGCAAACATCACTCCCGCCTCACGTTGATTTGAGACTGCTCTGGGTGCGCTGCCGCATCCACAACGACCAACATCCACATTCGAGAAGTCCAACTTTCGAGGACTGGGGACGGCGGGACAAAGATCGCGGGACTTTCCGATACTTGCCCTGGGGACATTTTACCCAGTACATCCCTCCTCCTCACAAGTTGCCCCCGCCCGGCTGGAGGCGAGCGTTTCGCATATGGCTAATTCCTCTCCATTATCTTCTGGTATCGTCGCCAAACCCGCCGAGCACCCTTGGCTGATCAGCACCTCTACAAAGCCATCCATGTCTCCACCGGAAGGTCGACTGCGCAATAGCCAACATACGGCCTGTTCTCTTGCACTTTCCTTCCACGGGCACGATCGTCTCCTCTGCCCAACTGCTAGCTTCAACAATTTGGGCAAGGTCGTCGAGGATGAAACAAGGCTATAACGAGGAGGCTTACGTTCTCAGCTTCGAGATCGGCAGGGACACTTTTCCAGAAAGACCGAAAGACAGGGGCCCGAGATAGGCCATGCGTGGGGCTCGTGGGGCCTGGGAGAAGCAACCTCGCCATGAGCTGATCAACACGTCGAACACGTTTCGAGATGGCGAGAACGATGCTCAACCGATTTTCTGTTGATTCACGTACACGAGTCCGAGTACTCTCCGCAGTCCATCCTTTTCTTCTGCAGACACGCTGTCTTGATTTCAGACCGGTTTGAGATCAATCCTAGCTATACCCTGTCCTGCGCGCTTTTCCGCGACTTCGAACATGTCGGACCCGTGCTTCCGACGATCTTCGGGTGCATCAATCTTGTCACCCCGTCTCTGTAATGCGGTTCTTCAAGAAATCGAATCGGCAGTACTCCGTGATTCACCGCCGGATGAGCTAAATCAGACACACACCTTTTAAAACTCCGGTCTTGAGAAGCGCAGAGGCCATGCTACCGCCAAGGACGAGCTTGGGCATTTGCGGCCGCAAACCCCACGTCCTTAAGCACGCGGATCATGACAAGCTCACAGCTGGAGCGGCGACGTGAGCACATTGGAAAACATTTCCAGGCGAAACGACAAGATACCGGAGTAAGAGTACGAGTACTAGCCTAGACTCGAACATATGGCGTAGGCAACCTTGTTTTGGGAGCAGCCAATCCACTAAAGGAGACTTCTGACGACCGGAGCTGATCATCATTCTCTCGAGGCACTCCTGATCGACCACGTCGCCTGGTGCCCAACTGATCTCGTATCTGCCCTGGGAGATCGACCACTGCCATATTTCTATCTCCGAGAGATCGCTTCCTGCTCAGATCTCGGAAACATGGGTTATCTCCACGAAATTGCCATCAATCCAATCTGGTAACCGCAGCCGCCGGATAAATGGTTCCTGCACCATGCCCATCGAGATGATCTCTTTTGCTTCTCGAGCACATCTGGGTGCGTAACCTGGATCTCGCAAAACTCTAGTAGATCTTCTCAAGTGCCGCGCCTAGAAAGAGACCGTATCTGTGATGCCGATGATTGAACCGGTCAACCGAACCTCAACAGGTTCGACTTTCCAGTAGGAAAGCGTCGTCAGCTCCCACTGGGAGTAGTGTGCGGTTCAATCCCGGAGAATGACGAGCCGGTGTCGCGTTTACGGTCAATGAGGCATGCATCACTGCATTCAGTCTTGACGCTCCGAGCGTTCGGGGAAAGCCTTGGCCCGCAGACGACATGGCGGGCCACGTCAATTTCCTGGGAGGGCTCGGAGGAAAGAGTTTGACGCAGAGCCTGGATCTCAGGGTACCTATGCAACCCGCCAAAGATGAGGACGGTAAACATCACAGGCAGTTCCCGCCAGCGTCGACCTCGTGTATCCTTTCACCCGCCAACCCATGCTCTTCATCTTCATCATCACTGTCCTCTTCACCTCTCATAGTCCACCACCAGCGGCTTCCCTTCCAGATCCCATCAGTGTCACCTCTGGCTTCCTCTTCCTCCTCCGTCCCAATGAGCCAGGTCCACTTCTTGAGAAACCATTTCTTGGCTTCCCAACTTCTCGTGCTCCAGGCAACAGTTTCACGCATGTCCCTCTTCCCGCTCTTTGTTGATCTTCCATGCCGGTTTGACAGACCAGACATTCCACCCCAACACACGAGACCGCCGTGCATAATGTCGGTAAAGAGTTTGCCATGGTCGAGGATGCCATCCGCGGAGGCTTTGACAGCGTGTTCCCGGAAATAAGGGAAGACAATACAATCGAGGTAAGCCGGATGCGGGTTTAACAGTTGTGCGGGCGTGGGTCGTATCGGCGGCTTGACGCACTCAAGATGAGCTTGCAGTCGTGGTGTGATTTGCATGAAGGTATCGGCGATTTTATATGGCACTGTGATAGGCGATATTGAGTTTGTCGGCGCCCTAGGGTCTGGTTTGTTGAGAGCGACATAGCAGCCTGGGAAATGCGACGGGTGGTCGTTGAGATACTGGTTGCGACTTATCTTCAGCGCCAGGCCGATTGCAATCGAGGCTTCGATATTTGCCTCTCCGACCAGGCGCATGTGATTCATGTATGGATCAGCCATCGCAGATCTCGGAGAGGGGAAGCCACTTGACGGCTGATGAGACGTAAGTGTGATGAAAGATCGGGAGCCTTGCAGCGAGCCCGGGGGAGTGGGGTATCGCTTGAGAGGCGAGGCTGATTTTGTGGGCATGGCCCAAATGGGCGCCATCCATATGTCGCCATAGTCGGCGTGCGTGTGCTCAACCACCATTTCCGAGTCCGGCTCTGGGGTAGGTGTTTCCGGTGCCACCTGGAATTGAATGCCCGACAGTGAGCCCTGACCGAACGGTAAGTCGCCAGCGGCCACAAAGGCATCGGCGATATTGATGACTCTTGAATCCAAACGGGTGTCCGTGGGTGGTACCTCTGGGGGAGATGCTGGAGAATCGTCATCGCGGTCGACATCTCCTTCAGCATAGATTCCCGTGCTCGGAACCGTTAGAAATCGATCAGACAATGCAGCCGCGTCGGTTTGAGGGAGGCCAGAAGCGGCCTGTCCCTCCAAGTCCTCCAGCTTCTTCTTCAGCCGTTCACGATATGCCTTCTGGGCACGACGATTCTGTTCACGCCGCTTGTCTGTGACTTTCCGAACATAAGCCTTTCGCGTCCTGGTCGTTGCGCCCTGATTATTGGCCATCTGTGCGCGAGTGCGTGCCAATCGTGACCCGCGATAATACTAGGTATGATCACACCATGAGATGATTAATCCTCGGAACGGCAACCGAAGCAGGACACAGGTCAGAGGACTGCGAAGGCTGGCTTACGTTTGCGATTTCGCACAACGCTGTCCGATGTGATGCAAGGGCGGTATAGTAGAAAGTACCAGGCACGGAGCCGGAGTTCGTCGAGAGTCAGTGTGTATGTGAGAGAGTGAGCCACAAACTCGATCCCGTTCGAACCTATGGGCGAGCCGTGACGAGTCTCGCCTCCACGACGAGCGCAAAGCGTAGTAGGTGCCGGAGTACGCGGTGCAAGTGGTAATTATGTCAGGTGCGGTGCACAGTGAATGGGGCGACTCACGCTCGGTCAAAATGCCTGTCCTGCCTGTCCTGCCTTGCCCTACCCTGCCCTGCCCGTCCAATGTATGATTCAAAAAGGTAAGTAGTGAGTGCCACAATAGGTATGTATGTACGGCGTATGTACGCCGAGTAAGCCAGCCAGAAACGTGCTCCGTAAGCCATCAGGCAGCAGCTAGGGTGACTCCAGCACGAACGGGTTTTTCGCCAAGTGCCAGCCCGAAGCCTGATGTTGCGGCCAAGCAGCCCAAACAGGCAGTGGGGCACATGGAAGACTCAGGACGGAGTGCGAGTGGGTGATGAGGACGAGTAACTCGGACTGCTTCCGGGCGCGAGAAGATAGGGTACGTAGTACTCGTACGGAGAACCTAGTACCGTGTATTAGTCAGTCTCGAGCCTCATTGGTGCGATTGGGAGCCATCATACGAGATGAAAGTACGGAGTACTGGGTATGTAGTACTGGATACGCATGGACTTGGCTACTTACTACCTAGGTACCTAAATACTGTAGTACTCGTAAGCATCGTGTGATTCGAGAAAGGCCGGTGTCAAGAAGTGTGTCCCGTCCTCTTTGGGGTGCTATCAGTATAAGGGTCCTCGCCGATGGCCAACGAGACGGGCATGTGACGTCATTTTGCAAAGTTGGACACTCACGGAGTACAGGTACCTATCTTAGTGATCCATGGCCCTATATGAGAACTTTCATCCGCGTATATATACAATGGCAGGCAGGCAGGCAGGCAGGCAGGCGGACTGGCCACCATGGTCGACATTGCCGACTTCGGGTGCGGAGTTTGTATCCAGGTGTATGTGTGTACTGAATCCTCAGTGTGTGTACTGAATCCTCAGTGTGTGTACTGAATCCTCAGTGTGTGTACTGAATCCTCAGTGTGTGTACTGAATCCTCAGTGTGTGGACACACGCACGCATACCTCCTGTACTCCGTATGCACACACAATATACAATACCATTCTGTGTACAGAGTAGAAGGTACCTAGTACTGTACAGTCAGCCCTGTTGGACTGATACATCGTCCTACAGTAAGAAGATCGACTACATATAGGTCTCGAGTACAATGACCTACAGTAGGTAGATCACGGAGATAGCCAAGGTACTCGGTATACCACCTACGACTCGGGTACGAGTTACAAAGTATGCCTTTACTCAACCCCCTAGACACCCAGGTGCCCACCTACACAGTACTCGTACCTCGCACGGAACGAGTCGAATGGAATGTAAATGATTGAAGAATACTTTGTACATCTTCGACTTCGACCTCGACCTCGACCTCGACTTCGACTTCTACTCTCTCTAAATTTCGTGTTTCTGGTTTCAGGGTTCAGCTTCATGTCTTGTACACTTCAGTTTTGCGCAACGTCGTAAAGCTGATACTCAAGCTCATGCTTGCTCATGCTCATGCTAGATATGTTGGAGGCATCTCAAAGGAACAACATGATGCATTTCCATTCTTCATTCTACGCCTTCCCATGCCACGCCTTCCCATTCCACGCCTTGCCAACCCATCCCATCCCCTCACACCATGGCACGCCAAATGGAAACAACATTACAATACCGGAGACTGCGACTTCCCCGATCGTCAAAATCCATCGTTGGCTTCAAAAACTCATTTGTTGGCCTCAAAAACTCATTGTTGGCTTCAAACCCTCTGGGCAACCCCAGTTACAAAAGTCGATGCTCAAAAGTCGATGCTCATGTCCACGTCCATGTCCATGTCCGAACTTGTATCCATATCCATAGCCATATCACTCCATATCACTCCAATGCACGGTTGAACTCCGAGCACCCCTGGTGGTGTCGTCGCAAGTCCGAAATGCCATGCTTATACTCAGGTTGTCTGGCCTGGTCTGGTTGTAGTGTACCTACCCTCTCACGGTCGATCTACCGCCCGGCATCACCGCGAATAGACCCCATACATGCTCTGCCATTGCACCAACTTCTTGGTAAGCGATTCCATCATGTCCACGCTACCCATTGTCCCAAACTCTCGGTCGTCCATCATGAGCATGGCATTCTCGCCACCATCTCCCACTTTCTCCTGAACATCTTTCAACCCCGCTTCTACCGCCCGTACGAGGCTCGCCGTTGGTAGTGCACTCGCGCCCGCCGCACTCAACCTGGATCCGCTAGAACTTTTACTCAGCCCATTCGGCGTGTTTGTGCCCTTGGAGCTGCCGTCACTCCCGTGGCCATTCGCGGTATTCTGTGCCGCTAGTTGCGTCGTCCGCTCGGTTTGCATTCGTCCCACGAACTCGAGAATGGCAGCAACACGGCGTTTCATTTCATTCATGCTCGTTCGCGCTGGGTGAGTCTTGGCTTTTGAACTGCGCCCGCTTTCTCCGTTGATGTTATGGCCATGGCCGGTCGCTGATTTGGTGTGGTCTTTGCCTTCGGCCCCGTTAGCAGGAGGGGAGGCACCACCGGATTTATCACCACCATTCAACTCGTGGGAAGCGTCGTGGTGTGGTGTGCTCTCTTCGTCACCATTCTCTCGATCACGGGCATTTTGATTCCGTCCCAGCCTTGCTCGTCGTACTGGTGCTCTGCCGCCTGTTTTGCGGCCATTGATGTTTGAACGGCCCGAAGGAGGAGTCTCAGCTTTCGGTCTGCCGTTGCTCTGTACGGCTTTTGCCGGGGAGAGGCTCGGTGTTGGTGGTGGTGAATCTATCGACAGTTAGCCATCGTGCCCTTTGCGTCGCATGCAGTTCTACGGCTCACCCTCTCCTCTTCTCCGCTCCGATCGGGCATTTCGTTTACTCGCCGCCTCAGCTCGCTGTGCGGCTTGCTGCTCCTTTTGCTTCTCCCGAAGCTCCTTTTCTCTGTTGTTCCGAGCCGCTGCTCCTCTCAGCTTTTGAGAGGCAGTGCTGAGCGCCTGAGACCCCTCGTCGATAGCCACAGGCTCAGGCGATTCAGAGTGCTTGGAAAGCATATCAGAGGAGTTGGAACCCGTGCGTCGACGCTTAGAATTGCCCTTGTGACTTGTCATGGTTAGCCACCCATCTTCTGGGATGTCCCGCCGTATCTTACTCTTCTGATTCTTCCCGTGTCCGCTTGCCCAAAGAGCCCATCTCTTTGCTCTCCTCGATGGCTCTTCTTAGCATCTCGTCTTCGTCGTAGGCAACTCGGCTGTTCATTGTGGCCCTCCGCTTCGTGCTTTCGCTCTGAGCAGATTTGCTATCTTTCTTGCGTCCCGCCTCAGGATTGGAGGAGAGAGGGGATGAGCGTCTGGAGGATGCGTCGAGCAAGGGAATGTAACGGGAAGATTTCGGCCTGGTGGGAGAAACTTGTCAGCTGCCATTGTTCACTAACCTCGCAAACACCGCAGTCAAACGATGTAAACTGTCATTCAAAGCGAGGAGTTCGACTATCGTTAATCCCAGCTGTGTGGCACAGGAGACAGTCAGGGAGGCCCAACTCACCCACTTGAGGCCCTCACGATTTTGTGCAGTTCTGGTTTGCACTGTTCGCAGAAGTACTCGTCTGGTAGGAATACCTCATCGATGATACCCATACAACCGCCATGTTGCCATACACCGCAGTTGTCGCACTGGACGAAGAAGTTGCCTGTCTCTTCGACACTGTCGTCTGGACCTACCAGCCGCCGTACTAGAGCAAATGGGGGACCGGGATATTCAGCTTGTCCGCAAATACAGCGAGTGATTTCCTCATCGGCTGCTTCAATGTCATTCTCTTCATCCTCGAGCGGTTGTTTCATGACCGGTTCTTTGTCTTCTCCGTTCCGACGACTTCGGCGTGGTGCCGCTTGCTCGGCTCGGGAGGTGGAGTCGGCGCCATCGGCAGATTCAGGCGGTTGAGTGGAGGAGCGGCGTCGCTGGGTTGGACGATGGCTCGTTCGAGTGTCTCGATCCAGCTTTGAAATGGTCGAGGTGTTGGAGTTTGGGTGGTTGGGACCTGGAGGGGGTTGCTGCGACGAGCGAGCACGGGATGACCGTCGGGGGCTCATTTTGGGTCGGCCGCGCTGGGACCAGATTCGCAGAGCTGCGCGAGTACCACAGCCGACAGAACGGTGCAGGGGCCGTCGCACGAGAGCAGGAGTGGTGGTGCTAAAGACACAGGGCGGCCACAACCAAAGGGTGGGTTGTTTGGCAATCGGTCGGGGCTGAGCTGGACAAAACAGAAGCGACAGAAGGTCAAATTGACAAGCAACAGAAACAGTAACGCCAAGTTGCCAGCGTCGCAGATGGCATATTCACATGGTCGATGGGGAACAAATTTGCACAGAGGTAACAAGAGAGGAGTGACTTCTCACACACATACACCTCTTCTGCGCTCTGCTCTGCCCTGCGGTGACTGCACCACGGTGGCGATGGCATCTGAATGGCTGGAACGACGAGAAAAGCGGGCCAGGGCCATGCACTGCGTCTGTCCCTCCAAAATTCTCCAATTGAGCAGCCGATCGGTGCGCGGATCTGCTTCTCCAAGCCTCGAGCCCAGAGCGGGTGGTGTCCATTGTTGCAGGTGCGGGCGCGATGCTTGGACGCCGGCACAGCTCTCGTCGAACTTCGTCAGCTCTGTGCTGTGTTCTGCATAGGGCAGAGACATGTTTCTTTCGAAGATGCAGTGTACGAGATATTCGTTGATAGAGTGCGAGCGCGAGCAGTGACAATTTTTCTCCACTTCCGGCTCACGTGGTCTAAGGCGAGTAGAACCAATCAACGCGTCCGCTTTCGACCCCGCCCGAGCACGCGTTCTTTTTAATCTACGAGTGTCGAATACTCCGTATGGAGTAATTTAACCCGAAATCCATTCTCTTCGACACGGGTGTCAAACTACGGCGTCCACATTATACACAGCGGAATCTTCCTTCTATCGCTCACTTTATTTGCGAGGCACGCCTTGCCCCCGGGGTGTCGCCTCGGAGCAAAGCTTTTTCCGCTGGAAGACCGATGTTACACGACCATCTTCGGGCTACGGCGTCGCTGCTGAAGGAACCGTACTCCGGCAGCGGCCCGATCGTGGGAAAGGCTTCTGCATGAGGATTTCCACAAGTGAGCCGCATGGACAAGAAAGAAACAGGCATGGGCTATCGAGGGCGAGGATCCTCAAGGCTCAAGGCTTCACGAGCCTCGCCGTACGGATGACTTGAGCGGCATTCTGGCGCAATTTGTCGGCGGAGGCAGTTACGACATGCTACCGAAGGATACCTGTCTCCTGGGCGACTGGTGCCGGTTACGTTACAATGCGGTTATTCCGCTAACAAATCCCAAAGTTTCGACCTCTGCTCCCAACGCCATGCCGTACCATTTCCTGCCCCGAAGCGTCTATTTTGCGGCTTCGAAAGGATAATGCTCGCCAAGCTCCGGACACTGTTGATACAAGACACTTTGTTGCGGCCGTCTCGTCGTAATTTCATGGCATAGTACAGAAGTCGAAGAATGTTGCTGCAGCGTGTGATCGAGGTTGATCTGCTCTCAAAACAAGGGCTCCGGACTGGACTGAGACTGATAAGCAGGGTCTTCGAGTTCGCTGACCCTCTGTTGCCTCGGGACTTGGACGCCACCCGCCTTAGTGACTCCATCACGACGGCCCATAGAGAGTAGCTCTTGTTCCTTAGACCTGGCCTTTTGTCTTGCTTCATTGTCTTTCCCTTTCGATTCGTGCGCTTGAGCTGGAGGGCCAATGTCAGAACTTCCGGTCTCGCTCCTCTTGCTGTTGATCAACAGGCTGAGCTGACTCTTTGTGCGCGGAAGTTCCATCGGGCTTGACGAGGAGTCTGAGTCGCCATCGTCAGAGATGGCCGCGCTGGCCATACTCGTGCGCAATCGTGACCGGCCCACGTTTTCCTCTCGTAATGGTGAGGAAGGCTGCTCTCGGTCTTTGCTTTTGTCTGGCTCCACCTGTGGGAGTTCGTCGGCAAAACGCACAATACTGCCTGGTCTCCTCATCCGAGCCAGACCCGGGAGATTGGTGAAGCTGGCCAGCTTCTTCTGGTTTTCAACGAATTTGCCGCGGAAGTCTGGATGGACAAGTTCGCCTGAAGGATTGGACTGGATCGGTGCAGTGCTTGCCAAAGGAGGGTTGGGTGATGTCGACTCTACACTCTGCCACGAGGACGCCGACGGGAGTGCGAAGGCCGGCCCACTAGCAGCCGCTAGTACTAAACTGTCAGCAAGGTGCATATACGTAGAGATGTGAGGCACACTTACATGGCAACGGCAGGCCGGGAGGAGGGCCGCCTGCGGAAAGGCGCTCGACCCTTGCACTAGTATCAGGGGCCTCAGCCGTCGAGTTTTCTGTCGGTTCTCGGGCTGATTTAGGCTGGTTAGAGCCCCCACCGGACTTCTGTGTACTGGATTTTCTGCGTGGAATTAACGGTCGTGCCCTTGCCTTCCCGGCACTGGCCAGGACAGGCAGTCTCTGGCGACCGCCACTAGCAGTCCTGCTCAATGTAGGTCTAGAGGACGACTCAGATGTGGTTTGAGAGGTCGATCCTGATGAACTATCAAGTCGCTGTCGACTTGCCTCACCTGCTGGTCGGAATGGCAGCCGAGGAACGTCATCCCGTGCGGGTTGATCTGCGGCCGACCATCTGAAGTCTTGCAAGGTCATGCCCGTGTTCTGACCGCCTCGAGGACTTGAGTCATGTATCGGGTGGACTTCACTAGAGGGAGATGGCGAGGCGAGGCGATTGCGAGACTGCCTGGGAGCAAAAGGGTCCTGTGCGATTATCATCGTCAGCTAGCTTGACCATACAAGTCCATTTGATGGCCCTACTTGTAGTGCGGGGGGTCCGGGTGAAGCTGGAATACCCCCAATGGGTGTCAAATCGAACTCCTGACTACATCGCTGCCACAGTTGCGTCAAGAGAGGAGGGGTGATGGATTGGGTCAAGGTGCGACTGCTCCATATTCTCCAGAATAGATTCCGTGATCGCACCGCGGCGTCATCCTGGGTCGCGTTGCTCTGGATGGCGTAGACTATCGAACGTGAGTCTTTTAATCGAGAGGTTCTTCGGAGATCACGTACCTCTCCAGAACTTTCGAAGGGCGTCAGAATTGGTGAAGGTGGCATTGGAGTCGTCCAAAGCGTATTGCTGTACATCAAGATTGGCATTAATAAGTCCTTGAGGTAGTACGGCCGTCATGACATGCGATTGTCAAATGTGCTTCACCCACACTGGCAGCTCCACGAAGCCGACGGTCAGACCCCCAGCTGACCAGAACATGTCCTTGGGTCCCAGCAGGATACGACAGCGTTGTCGGCCGGTAATGGAGGGGATCAAGGACTGAAGGAAGTGGCAGACGAGGTTGCGGGAGAGGTGCCAGGTGGACCAAGCAGGTGCCCGCCCACCGGGCGCTGTCGTGGCAGGAGGTGCCCAAAGATCGGTGAAGAGGCAGAGCGGAAGTCAAAGGCGTAGGCGTAGGCGTGACCGGGTGAATAAGATTTCGTGGGTTTTTTTTCCCTCTGTGTTTCTTATGACGAAGGCCCAATGCCGAAATAACGGTCAAGTAGTGCCGCTAACCGCACCACGGCCTGCACTTGCGGAAAAGCCTCTGTGACCTGGCACGGGTGGAAGTGTGCTGGAGCTCACACTAGACTCTGCTAGAGCTGGAAATAGAAAGAGCCACTGGGAGTCAAGATCGCAGAGACTCGCTCGCTGGGGTTTGGTCGGCTGCCAGGACCCGGTCCTAGTCCATGGATGTGGTGAGACTTCCAGAGCATGGGATCCGCTGCCGAAAGCCTAAAATCGGGGAGCCCTTGGTGGCCAGTAGAACAGCCGCGCGGAAGGGATCCGTTGGGTAAAACCGGAGCTCTGACTGAATGGCTCGAGGAACTAGACACGAGACGGGCTCACTTCAGCTGTGATACCTCGGATGTCCTTGATTGAGTGCCTTGGGTTGGGCTGGAATGGGGGCGGACTGACGACCCAGCTGGTGACCACAGTGGCTGGTCAGGCCGACGGGAGGTGGCCGGGCAGGGTGCTGTCCGTGATTGTAGGCCGTCACAAGTCGCTGCAAAAGGAGATCCGGACGAGATCAAGCATTGAAGGGTGAAAGGCGAAGCTCGATGGTTGATGAGAGAAGAGAGAGCAATGGAGCTCAAGCAAGCTAAAGCTCGGGAGACCCAAGTCAGCCGACCCCACGGCTAACAAATAAGAAGATTACCATGGCCGTCGTACTTGTCGCTGGTGGCAGCAGATGCAGGAACGGGACCCAGCTGCATTGCAGAGGGGCCGGGGGGTGGCTTCGGACCGCGTGTGAACGAAGGGAGAATGGAACGGGCGGAGGGAGGTGGCAGCTGCCAAACGGAGATGTTGCCAAAACATCGGGTATTGGGTCTGGAACGGTACGAGGACTCGGAACAAGAATCGGAATGGACAGACGAGACGTGTCATGGGAATGAGTAACAGAGCAGGGGTCTATTGCGGACGGCTAGGGGAGAACCGAATGTCGATGGTGGGAAAGGGGATGTGAAGGGATGAGACTTGCAAGCCGCACCAGCGGAGGCATACCAAAGCCCATCACCATCACCGTTAGCACGTTGGGCAGCGGCAACAAGCCTGTGATGGCTTGCAAGGGATCATGGTCCCCAACCGCATCCGAGCCACCAGAGATCGAGGCGTGTGTGTCATGTTGGGTGGAGTACCTAGTATACACAGGACGAGTATGAGGAAGAGAGCAGGTGAAGTAAGAGGCGCTAGACAAGTCGCCGAAATCACAAGCGCCACCTCCCACGGCACGAGGTACCCCATTTGTCGTAGCCGGCAAGTCGGTCTACTGGGTACAGTGACTGAGGAGAATCAGGAAGGAATGGGAAGGGTGAAAAGAGGAGAAGGGCGGAGAGGAGGGTCCAGGTGGGAATTATTCTCCTCTCACCACTGCCTTGAATTGGCTTGATGAGTTACAGATACGCCGACCGGCTAAATTCGACGAGGGCACAACTCGGCAGTGGTGACCACGGAATGAGGCTCAAATATACTCACCGCCGGAGGTGCATGTCTTGTACGGAGTATGGTTGCAGAGGATCGACGGCGATATGGACGCCGACATGGCCATGTGGAGCAGTGTCTGCTCCTGGTGGACACACTAGAAAAATCGAGAACATGGACTAAACAAGCGGCTCTCTGACATGGGACGGTGGTGAATGGGGGTGGGTTCTGCCTTATCTCGAGATAACTTGGAACCTTCCCCGAGAGCGGGCATAGAATTGAATGTACGTAAGGTGCTGGTGAGATGCACCTCAGACTTGAATGAAGAGGACAAGAACGAAGATTCCCGATGACCCTGACGATCGGATGTGGATCATCTCCGTACATGTGGCAGGCGCGTTGGGCTTTTTTCCAGTACTCAGTACTGTGTATTTTCTACTCGTAGCGCAGCTTCCAAGCTTCCACTTTAATTGAGCTCGATCTCGAAATCGTCTCCGTGCGTACCCGGCGGCCTTGCAACGTGGTGCCTCTCCGATGTTTCGCCAGCTGCTCGATCATAGAGTGGACGGGTACTCCGTACTAGCTCTGCTACGATTGACCCGCAACGCTCCGTCTCAGCTGGCTTCATTTATTGCTTTCGTGGGCTTCTCGATTTGAGCTTCATTTCCCGCTGCATCACCCCAGCATTGCCGTTAGCTACATATTCCGCGCTCACTCCCACTTCCAACATGCAGCTGTTCCACGCCGTCACTATGCAACACCCACGTTGCCGGGTCCAATTCTTATCCGTCGCGGATGTGCAGGACCAGGGGTGCCAGCCCAGCCCAGCACACAAGTCCGCCGCCTACCGATGGCACACAGAGTGACATCCATTGCTCTCGTTGGTCACCCGCGTGCCTTGACGAAGCCGTACTCCCCACGGCTGTCAGCGACGAAGCGCTCCGACCCTCCCATCAACAGACTTCTCTCGAATCTGTCCATTGCCTGATTAGGCTTCACCCAGATTTAGGATTGCAAATTCAATTGACGGCTCCAGTCCCTGCATGAGCTCCGTGAATGCTATCTAGGAGCGACATGGTCTTAGCAGGATCCTTGTACGGAATACCCAAGGTACTGTTGCAACATGGTAGGTATCGCTCTGACTCCTAAGACGAACTTGTCCCTTGCAGCCACCAGGCATACAATGGGGATTGAATGATGCAGCCGTGCTCAAAACCCCTGCACCTCAGTACCATTGTCGAGATGCTGCTGTCTAGGAACGGTCTTCGGCCCTCTCACTCCTTGCAGCCGGTCCTAGCAACAAGCCGACGTCTTGGAAAAGCATGCGAGACGAGGTCAAGACCCCGTCTGAACTTCCTTCTTGCGTACTTGTTCAGTCCCACGACGATCGTATCAAGACTCAATAGTGCCCTTACAACTTCCTATTATATGGAATTTCGAAACGGTGAGTCGTCGAATGCCGTGCTACGTGGGATGGAAACAATCCTGATTTGCCTGATTCGGTATTGATCGTCGACCTCCAACTTATTGCCACCCGCAGCCACTGGGTGTCGCAGGTCTGTCGCAATCGCGAGTGAGGTTGAAGTCGGAAGCCGTTGCGAGGTGAATCGGTCATGTCCTAAACAAGTGAGACTCCGTGCATCTGACGAGTAACAGCCTGGCCAGTGACACTTGTTGGAGGCTTCTCGCGCTTGTGGCAAGCATCGAGACCTAAGCTAATGCACGTCTACCAAGATGTAGGTATATCTCCTCGGCGCGCCTAGCTTCGCCTCGCCCCGCCTCAGTGACACATGACACCCATGGCCAGCATATCTATGTGCATGTATACCTGCGGTAGGATGTCAGTATGTCAAGTCATCACCGCAACGGACCAGCTAATCAAGATAACGCTTGATGACGGCGGTCTGTAGCCGGGGATCAGGGGACTGATTGGCACTCACCCTCCATCAACTCTCAAGTCTGCTCCTGTGACATATCGGCTGGCATCACTGAGCAGATAGACGACCGCTCCCTGCAGGTCTTCGGGGGAACCCATTTTGCCGACCGGGATTAACGATGTCCATGTCTTGTTGAGTTCCGGGTTGTCGTCCAGGATTTTCCGAGTCCTATCAGCAAAGTTAGCCCAACGGCGATGCGGTAGGACGCCAACGATGAACATACAATGCCGTCAGCATGTAGCCGGGACTGATACAATTGACCCGGATATGGGCGTGTGCCCATTCCACCGCGAAGCTGGCCGCAAGATGCCTCACGGCCGCCTTTGCAGCATTGTACGGTGCCTGTGGTTGGGGCACGTTGACAATCGAGCCTGACATGCTGCCGATCATGACAATACTTCCGTGCGTCACGTCCCGCTCCATCAGATGCCGCGCAACAGCTGTGCTGAACAGATATGTCCCGTCGACGTTCACGCCCCAGAGCTTCTTGATGCGTTCATACGGGTATGTTTCGGCGGAAAAGTTCTCTGTGAATCCAGCCGAAGTGACCAGGTGGTCGATCTTACCGTGCTGCCCGATGATGTCGGCGATGCAGGCATTCACCGACGCCGGGTCTGATACGTCGGCATAGTGTGCTGTGACTTTGGGCACCGGCTCGTCCGAGCCGCTCTCCTTGTTCTCCTTCGCTATAAGCGACACCAATTCCTGAGCCTGCTTCTCGCCCTCCTCTTCTGTAAAGGGACACAGGTCAGCATATCGCTGGGCCGAAAAAAGTACAAAGAGCTCCGGCTAAGAGGGCGGGTGAGCGGGCATCTTACTGTTCAGATCCACGATCGCCAGATCAGCCCCCGACTGCACCAATGCCTGACCCATGACCAATCCGAGACCTCTCGCTCCGCCAGTCACTACGGCCGTGCGCCCCTCGAGACTGAACGTCGGTAATGTCTTGACGTACTGGACGCCGCCTCGACCCCGCAACGGGCGATCCTGGGGGAATTCTTCCTCGGGAGGATATTCGACCACGATCTCACGGTCGGTACGAGATGCAGAGCCTTCATGCGGTCCGGCCGACGTCCCCGTTGCCTCGGTCGACGCCTTGTGATATGGGTCGTCCTTGTCAAGCCGCCAGGGAGTGAGCCGGAGTGCGCGGGGACATGCCGTCGACAGTGGTCGGAAGCCAGTTGCTGTCGGTGTCCTGGGGAGGTTTGCTAGACGCCGACTTGCTTGCCTGAGCAAACGGTGGGTAGTGGATGTGTTCATCTTCGGGCGTGAGCCTGTCTCTTCTGCTGAATTATCTGCAACTCGACAGACCTCCGTGGCAGCGCAGATGGATGATCCGCGGGATGAATCTTGAACCTTTCCAATCCCCACCACCGCTCAAGTTCGAGTCTTGAAAAGTGTATTTGTATTTAGGAGTCTGACCCGTCTCGTAAGAGCCTACAACCACAAACCCCGTGTATGCCTCGAACAGCGACACCAAGGGCCAGTAGCCCAGTAGAGCCGAAAGCGATCTTGATGAGACACACAAGTGTCTCGAGAAATTCTTATCAGGTGAGTTACAGTAACGAGCGAGTGAATTGAGAGCCACCAAGGGAGCAGCAAGAGACGACGTGTGCCGCCGGCCAAAAACTTTGTTGACCTCCGTTTTGCAGATTGCAGAGCATTATGTCATGAGCCGTGAGCTCAAGGCTCTTGGGTCTCAACAAGTCTGACCCTGTCACCCTGTGTGTGTGTGGGGGCGACGCGGACGCACTCGTTGATCGTCGGCTACGCCTGCAGTGTTCAGTGTTTACTGGGTCCAGCATGACGCGTCTCGATCCCTGAGATTCGTACTTAAGACTCTAGAATCTCGCCCAGACAGACGAGTACCGAGTATGGAGCACAACCTAGCCGTGGTACCTCATACAATTTCTTGCAACGGCCACGATATCAGGCTTTCTTCATCACCACTGATAGTATGCAACCGGTGACTAGGTACTCGTGCTCTGTACAGAACATAGCCTAATACCGTGCTTGTCCTCTGTTACTCTGTGATCATAGCCTATTACTGTACCTCGTACTCTGCCCTATGTGTACTCCATACTGTAATACAGTACTCTGCAGTCACCGCTCAGTCTGACCTGCCGTCTAAATCTCCAGAGTCGGAAAGGGCGCCGACGGGTTTCAATATCATGGCCCCCAGCGACTATCGTTCACCTCACGGCTCACGAGGCTATGCCTCCTCAGTCTTCATCGGCGCAGGATCTTGCATAGCCGGAGCGCGGTATCTTGAGTTGGTGCACCGGCTGCGAGACTGAGGTACAGTTCCACAGTACGTACGTGATAAACCGGAGGGTCCTCGACATTTCTACCTTATCTGCCTTAGAAACCTCGTACCACTGGCGGACATCAGCAGCAGCACGCAACATGTTTTATGCGTGCCACTGCTCGCAGCGCCTTCCTGGGCCAGAGCCCCTCATTTCGGGATTTTCATCACTTTCCCTCCGCCACCAGTGCGTCCCTCCGCCATGGGGGCAGGTGTGGTACTTTAGCTACAAACCTCCCAGACGCCCAATCGCCCTACACTTTCGCCGGCATTCCTGATAATGCACAGATATTTCCTTCGCTCCTTCTCCTTCTCGCTTTCATTCACGCCATCATCCGGCAAGCTGTCATCTCGCCATCCTTCCAGAAGTCGTTGTACCCAGATCCCACCAATGGCCGCGCCCCGACCTTCAGCCAGATTATACCCACCACTGGTGACAAACCCAATCAAATCATGGGCATCCGGGCAAGGAGGATGTTTATCCCACTCGGTAGGCTGCTCGAAGGGATTAATCAGTAGATCCTCCATTCCGTCTATGCCAGGAGCAGGCACGTCCAGCGGATTCTCTTCATCCCCACCATTTCCCGACTCTGACATCGTCTCCTCCCGCCCGACGTTCCTGACCTTCTTCCTGCTGTCTTCTTTGTTTCTGCCCATCTTCTGCTTCGGTGGCGGAGGCATCTGCTTTGGGATCTCGCCATCGCCTCGCCCGAAGGCGCTGTCGGGACCCCACTTCTCGACAATCTCCGGAGGTGCCTTCTTGGGCAGAACGTTGATCTTTGCGAGGGATTCACGTGGGTAAGTTGCTTGGCGGCGGGGGATGTTGGATTTGTTGTTTTTGATTTTCGACAGAGGTCTACTCTGGGACGACGACTGCATTCCCAGCGCTAGCCAGCGTGAGCGAAGGTCACGAGCTCGAATTACTGGGCTCGAGGAGCTCGATAAGTCTGACGAGCACGTGGTCGGGAGAGGTTGGGCTGGCGGTGGGCCATCAGAAGGCCAGCTTTGCGGCTCCGAGTCCTGTGAGACTTCCCCGTTCGTGGCTCGCAAACATGGCAGAGAAGCTGCCTCTGGTTTCGGAATTGATGGCAGTCGGTAAATGCGTGCTGCTGGGGACGGAGTACCTTTGTCGAGCAGCATAACCCGGACAGTCATCACTGTTGGATGTTGTGATGAAGTCATGATTGACGGGTTCTTCAGTATCGCAGTGCTTTGGGCGGGAGAAAGGTGTGTGTATCTGCACGGTGACACCGGATTTGACAGCTTTTCGGGCTCTCCCTCGCTCTCGGGGCTAGATGTGTTGCGTCGACGAGCCCGCTTTTCTGCCTCAGCTTCTTTAGCCTCGGCAGCTTTTCTTTGTCGCTGTGTCAGAAGTTGCGGTGGATCGTGCTCTTTGGGAACTCCATCATTATGCTGAGAGGAGGGAGCGACTTCAGTGGTGAGAGCCTCGTTCGTGTCACTGAAGAGATATTCCCAATCACAAGCCCACCCTCTTCCCATCTCGCCACGCCGGCCTAGTCCCAGATCAAGCCTCTCCCATGCAATCCGATGTTTTGGAGGTCGTCGAATCCACGCATCGAATCGCTTTTCGCTTTCACTCCGTTCCCATGCTTTGCCCGCCGCGGTGCCCGGGTGATCTCCCGGGAACCATGGCGTCTTCCGCTCAAACGACATCTGTTGTTGCTGATTCATGCCCCCAAATCGCGGGGTGCCGCCGGAGGAGAGGGGATAGTACATCAGAGACCGCCAAACAGGATCGACGCAACTCCAGGGAAGAAGGACGGTCCATGTGCCTTGGTAGTTCTTGTTAGTGCTGTTCTCTGTCCGCGACGCAAGTAGGATGACTGGTATCCTGGGGTCTTTGGCTGTGATTGACGGTGCTTGCCCTGGTGGTGCTAGCGCTCGTCGACGATTGATCGCTTTCTGTGATGGTAAGGAGTTGCTTATCAGCCAGCGCGTCTTGTGTGAAAGCAGTGACGAGGATGGAAGTGTCTTATCAAACGGCCACGACACAATAAGTTCGTCAAGATGACTTGACCCGGAGCTTTGGGGTATCTCAATCTGCTTCGGCGGATGGTTCAGCCTCGGGTCGACGAGATGAAAAGAAAGCATAGCGTTATGGGGAAGAATGCTGGGATTGTTGACGCCTGCAAGTCGCGTCCACAACGATCCGCTCGACTCTTCTGTTCGCACATGTGCTGGAAAAGGACGAAGCACACCGAGCAACGCTTCAGTCGAGCCTGGCCCCTGGATGTCGATACTTCCGATTTCGAAGCGGAGATCTTCGATCAAGACTTGCGGCTTCTGCATCTTCGCGACCTTTAAAAGCTCTTGCCAGAACTGAAGGAAGGCAGAAGGGTGGATGCGGATCACAATCCGGTGATCGAGTTTCGTCTTGCGCTTCTTTTTGCCATCTCTTGCAATTTCGACTTGCGCGTTGCTCCCCACAGGCTGACCCCGGTTCTCTTGCTCTATTTCCATCTGACTTTCTGCCAAACCAGACTGGGCCTGGGCATCGTTTCCAAGGCCCTTAAGGTCCTCCGGTTTTGCAGATTTTGGGTTTTCTTCCCGATCTTGCTCCGGTGGGAACCAGATGACCTTCACCGGTGCGATGAGCTGCTTCGCTTGATCCCGTTCGGAAACCCAACCGCAAGCAAACCTTGTGCCGTTCTTCCACTTCTTCTGCAGGGACCGCGAAACTCCCAGCGGAGAAAAGCTTAGTGCCTTGAGCATGCTATCCAAGGCGTTCTCTGTTCCCCAGCAAGCGACCGTGCACATGTAGCTAGTATCCCAAGCTATGCAGCCCTGCGTGCCAGCTGCTCGATGACTTGGTCTGTAACTCTTCTCCGTGGGGCTCAACGGTATGGCCATTCTCCATAGCGGCTCCGTTGGCCGGGTCATGTGAGCACGCTTTGTGTGCCAGAGATGGGTGGGTAGCCATGTCTTGTTGACCTGCCGTTTCTTGTACTTTGTCGAGGCTTTGGGGAATGCGGACAGTGTGTTCTTCTTCAGGCGAGGCACACGTGAAGTTAGCACATGTCTATCAGGTTCTGGTTGCTGAGCATTGGCTTTGGCTTCCTTCTTCTTCTGCCGGACTGTCTTGCGCCTCTGATTCAGTCGCTTCAAAGTTCGAGCAGTGTCGAGTCTAATTCTCAACTTTCGAGAGGGAGTACGCGTTCGCTTGGTCACCGTAGGCGTGTTGTCTTCTTTCATCTATCACCCTCCTGGTCAGCAAAGGTCAGTACACCTCGTCTCGTGCTACGGCTATGTGGCACAAACCTCACGTTCCGCCCTCTTCCGCAATCGTCGAGGTACCTTCTTCGCGTTATGGCTGGCAGTCCTCCTTCGCATGTGTCTTGGAACCTGTTGAAATGCTCTTGTACTCAGAGACTTCTTTGCATTCCGCATGCTCTTCTCCAGAGCCGCGATTTCGAACTCTCTCGCCTTGATGAAGGACGGGATATTGAGTTCCCCCATCGCAGAAACAGCGGCATCAGGCCGCTGCACAGAGATCGCACGCGCATCATGATATTTCTGTCGCTTGCGTGAGTCTGACGAGGGCATAGGCTTGTTGAAGCCTAGCTTACGCTTTTGCCCGGCTTGCTGTGTTGGGGGACCCATGGCCTGAAATGCCGGATCGCGAGGCAACAAGTCGCGGTGCGCGTTGAATTCATGCTTCTCGATCACCACTGGAAATTTATTGGGAAATTGACGTCATTTCAAACTACGGGGAAGCAAAGGGATAATCACGCGTGGTACTCGACAGCAGTCACACAGTCCACGTGCTGTTATTGAAAGGAAGACAGATACTCCTGCTATCGTACATCGTTTGGCACCCACACAGTCTTAGACGGCCCAATTTACAGTATGTACTGGAGAGATGTCTAGTGTAAGTATCGACGGCAGCGTAGAAATTGCATCGGGTTCGTATATGCGCTATCGTGGGAGGGTTGTTGTCCCAGGAGTTGTTCCGCCAGACACTGCGAGAACCTGGCAGCAAGATCGCAATCAAATCAAGACGTCCCCAGACAGGGGGTGCCGGGTTTGAGCCGCCCGGACATGCACAACGTAAGAGGAAGTGATGTTCTTGTCCCGGTCTCGAGCATCCAAAGGTTACCGAACTGGAAAGGGAGGACTTTAGCGACTCCATCCAGATCCGCATTGAAGCCACCTTTCTGTGCGACAGCGAATGCTCAGCCTTTTCATTTCACCGCACTGTCCTATCGTCACAGAACGTCAAGGCATGCCAAGGCCAACAAACTCATCAGTGCATCATCATCAGAGTGATATGTGTATGACCTAGGGAGATGCATTCGCCACTGGTGCTGGTCTCTTGCCTAAGGTGAGCTTGCGATAGGCGACAGCTCCATGGTAAGTCCTTCCTGGGACAGGGTTATCGAGCACGACTACCTCCAGATCATCAGTGGATTGACCATCTTGACTGCCGAAAGCAGTGGTTGCATCAGGGATAAGATTGCCTAAGTATATAATGTCGCGGGCGTAAGAGAAACGTGGCGTGTCTAGGCCCGAAAAGGATCCGAAATGATCAATGCTTGTACCACTGAACTTGCTTTCTATACAGTCAGCACGCGGAGGTCTGCGGCCACAGACGTTCAGCATTTCACTCGCTCCAGGTGAGGCCGATGTTCTCTTGGAGTTTCTTCTGGCCTCACCGCCGCGCCTTCGCTATCGTTGACTCTATGCGGGAGCGTATAGCGAGGCTGCGTGCCTGACGGAGAGTCCGGTATGTGTTGCGAGATGCGACTTCAGGGCCCTAATAGGGAACACTATGGTCGGAGTTGTTGTGGTTGAGAAGGGGGGTTGTCGGCCCTGCGGTCATTCCAACTAGGCTTAACCAAGCGTCACTACGCGTGCATTATCCCAGGATGCGACATCTTCAGCCCAAGTTAGCCAGTGATAGGAGTACTTTTGCGAGGGAAAATGCCGGTTGCCCGTAGGCTGAAATCGGAGGAGCATAACATGATGGTATTTTCGAGGATGAAAGGTATTAAAATACCGGGCGACACAGGTCAGCCGCCTTCGAGTATCGAGTAGTGTCGTCGCGATTAATCGTGTGTACACCGTTCTGTACACTAGCGCGACCAGTCGTAACCGCAAATGGATGCCACGGGGTAAGTGCAGGTCCGAGTAAGTCAGATGGCGGGCATATATCGCGATCTTGACCGTGGGCGATACGAACGGAGGCGGTAGTCAATGCAAATATGTACTGTAGCAATGGGGACCCGCGTAATAATCTACCAAGAAAGCGAAGAGAGGTATTAACTGTGCAGGGATTAGTGCTGCCTGAGCTCACTAAGACAGCGCCCAGTGGAGAGAATTTCGATGACTAAGGAGAACACTTTCCCCCAAAGGTCTTAATTCGCTCCACAAAGAAGGGCTTCGAGGCACCGGCTCTTCAGCGCTATCTCTTTTCTGTTTCGGCCCCTCCTCGTGATTCTCCGATCATCAGCCTCAACGACTTGGAAGCCAGAAGTACTGGGTGCAGAGGGTATAAACTGCTGAGCGCAGTGTGCAGAGCCCTTTATTGGATTGCCAATCGGGTTTCTGCCAGACGGGAAGTCAGCGCTCAGGCTGCCTCGTACTCCCTTGATGTTGTGCTTCATCACCGACCAATTCTATTGTAGTTGCGAGTGTGATTTTCGTTATTCCAGGTTTGCCGCGGCAAGTGCCCTATTGCAGACACATGGCTGGACTCGCATGCAATAGAGCTGCAACGGTCGGCAGGTGAGGCGCAATCGCTTCTTCGGGGCCGACTTCGCTCTAGTAATCCGAAGGAAGGCCATACGCAGCGCTGTGTGAACGCCGTCCGCTGTGAAGGCGAGAGCTACTGTATCCACGGTCACAGCGGTTTTCGAAAAGGCTGTATCTGTCTCGGGTTCCAGGGACAGTCCTTCAGGTACTTTGGAGAGCACGCTTGTGCAGACCGATTGGCTGTCACAGTCCCATCGCGCCGATGGTGGGTTGGTGGTGTATCGCCTACACTATTACTAAAGAAGGGTGGATGCCCGGACATGTAACAGTCACACCAATCGCGCATACTGCTGCATACTCTCCGTCTTATGTAAACAGCGCTCATCTGCAGCTGAGATTGACCCCAATACAACAGTCACAGTCTGTCTCAAGAGATAAGGATATGATGAGTCCCTCGACAGCACGATCAGTTGTCAGTATTCGCAGCGCACCCACCTCGTCTACTCCGGCATCAAATCCTGAGACCTACACAACACGGCACGAGCAAATTGGCCGGGACCAGCACGCCTTGACAGAATCCCGCAGTGACGCCGACATCTCCCAACAAGGGACGAATCGAGCGATGGATTATTTCGCCGCTGCTCACCGTGACTCCCATCACTCGACACCGGAGGCCAATTCATCGAGTTCGAGTTCTCCTGATGTGAGTCCCAACGCCCGCGTTGCGTGCGCACTGAGATACCCCGGGACGGACGACCATCTTATTGGCGTCTTATCTGGCGACCATTTCACACGCACGGGGACTAACCACAAGCCCCGAATAGAACATGAACGACCGTCTCCGCTTCGGTAGCGTTGCTCCTGGCATTTTCCCTCCCGATCAGATATGGGACCCTGTAGACCTGTCGTCTCTCGATGCCATCACCGACTTTGACGACGAATCCTTTCGCCAACCAAGCCACCCTTCTTCAACAGATGCCGAGCACACAACTGTCCCGCCATCAAAAATGGTGAGCTCCTACCCTAACGCCCACTTGATCCTGCATTTCTCGTTTCCTTTGATCGGCTCCTCTGTCCAAGCCCGGTCCAGCCCAGAGCACTCCTGATTCTGCAACGTTCCCAATCACCCGATCACGATTACGGTGATCCGATACTAATCTGACTGACAGAGACGAAGAGCCCAGAACCGCGCCTCGCAACGTGCCTTTCGCGAACGCAAAGAACGCCACGTCAAGGGTCTGGAAACACAACTCGAACTGCTCAACGAGAAACACCAGGATCTTCTGTGCAGCTATAACAAGCAATCTGACATTATGATGAAGCTGAACGGAAAGATTGAGCAATTGACGGCAGATTTAAAAGCACTGAAAGCGCCAGCCGCGACAGCAACGACGATGCCGCCGCCGCCGCCGCCGCTTGCAGACGCTCAGTATCTCGGGGGCGGAGGGCCGGAAAGGCAACGAGAGAGGCTGCATGCCGGTAGGAGCGGACGCCTGAGCGGACCAGAGAAGTTCGATGCGTTTTCGTTCACGAGTCAGCCCTCAATACCCTCAGTGCTGTATGATGGCTATCATTTAGGATCGGACGGCAGGATTGTCAACACGGCGGACGCGCCAAATCTAGCCATTGGTGGCACGGTAGTCAGGACTATGCAGTTACCGGATTTCGAGGATCTGTTGCGGACGCCCTGAGGGCCATTTTGCCATGATCTTGGGACGAGCAACATTGATACTGGGACTTTGTAGCCTACGTGATTCTCATGAGCGGAACATGCCACGATATCCGCAAGATACGATTTCAATTCTGATATGGCCTCGGCGATGGCGCACAATCTGGGTCAAGGATATAGGTGGTCGACTGTTTTCTATGTCTATTGCGTTTATATCGCCACCATCAACAGCCAGCCCCAACAGAGGTGCTAGCGTGGCTCGAGCTGATTCATCATCGCATCATCATGCAGCGCCGCGTTCACAGGAATGAAGCCACCCACGAACTCATCCCACTTGGTGGAGCGAATTGCATGGCATGCCTGGGCCAATTTGACTCGCTGCGACGGATTGTGTGGACCGTCGTCATAGAACCGGTCATAGTTTGGAAAGGACGGCTTGTGCTCCGGAAACCTAGTGCATGCATTACGTTAGCCCGCTCTCGATCTCAAACGCCGTGACAATCGGAACAGTTGGTTGTTCATGTAAGCATGGAGACTGGAACAGGGGGAGATGTGGTGTTCTAAACACCCGCATGAGAAAGGAACAGGATCCTAGGGCAGGTCTGTCTTCGAAGCTGTGTGTCCTTCCCAAACGACCACACCCCAAATGCAAGGCTCCGTATCCATCGCGAGTGCGCTGGGCTGCGGCTGGGACTCGCCAGTCATCGCCAGACCAGGAAAGTCCAGCGCACAAATCACATTCCCATCTCTGTAACCACAGCCGCCGAGTGTTGGATCCCAGGAACGAGCCAAAAAGGGCAAGACTCACCGTAACATCCCGACCAGGTTCCTTTTCCGCGTATACGATCTTCCCGTGGTCTATGACGATGGCGTATCGAGCCGTGCGCTCGCCCAGTGTCCAGCCAATCGACTTGGAGAATTTCGTTTCGGGGTCGGAGAGGAATAGCTGTACAACAGAGAGTCGTCAGTGAAGCCCCTCCAGGTATGATATGGTGATGGGGGGCGTAAATAGCAGAATTCCACCTCGTATGTCTTTCGTAGACGAATAATAAGCCATGGCCGGGGTTTGACTTTCTGTCTCGCGTAGAAATTCTTGTTCTCCCCTTTCGTACTCGCCGCAGCCACGACAAGTGGAGAAGAATAATTGACTCACAATCTCGTCCTTGATACCATTCGCCTTGCCCCAGGCACTCATCACAAAGGCGTCATTGTATGCGAGGACAGCCACGACATCCACGCTCTTGCCCTTCAGTTCCTGCAAGGCCTGGATGTACCCAGGCAGATGTCTCACCGAGCAACCGGGTGTAAAGGCGCCCGGGACGGCGAAGAGCACAACTTTCTTATCAGCCCACTCCTTGCTTGCGTTGTAGTTCTGGGGGATGCCGCAGGAGGTTATGTCGGCGGATTCGGGGGTATAAGGGATGTATCTGCAGGCACGGGGCACGAGAAGTCAGTAGATGTATGCAAGTTGCGGACACGAAAGCGTGGATAAGGTTGAGAGTCGAAGCGTACGAGAAGACAACATTGTCTGGGAATTGGTCACCCTCCTTGAGCCCGGCCATGCTCAGATGTTAGACGATTCCTGATAAGTAATAAATCGACAAGTATATAGATGCGTCACGGTCTCCGCGTCGAAAGCCTTTACCCGAAGCACTTCCAAGGTGAACAAAGGATGGGTTCGAACGTCTACAATGCACGCTTCCTGAACGATTCTTGCTTACTTTTCCTTCATGTACAATACGAGGTACCGTTTACCCCTCAACCGCAAAATAAACAGTGGAAAGCCGCGGCCACTTGTGGCTCAATCTGGCCCCACTATGTGCCCCGCGATGGCACAATTGACGGAGACTTCGGTGAAACTCTTTTCCGTCTTCCGAGATTCTGGATCCTTGCGAGCAGCGCACGAGACATTAAAACTCGCTGCTGTTGTCATATCATGCTGCTGCTTTCACCTTGTTCTCATCTGCGCAAAGCGGCAGGGGCGATATGCTGGACAGCATTGCTCCACACGGCCAAAAATCTGCAAGCATCCATCGGCCGCCTTTAGGACGGCTCAATGAAATTGCTGGTCTCGAGTCTTGTCGAGGTTAGACTCCTCACTGGCTCTGGTAGTGGCAACGCGTAATCGATCTGACTGGCTCATTTGGGGCATAGTAAAAGCGTCCCTGATTTATGGCTGATGGATTCCGGAAAGCGTTGGACCTGGTTTTGACTCCTACTGAGAAACCCAGTATAGCTGTTGTTGCTGCTCCTGGAAGGTCTCCATCACCCTCAGCAGTGTGGAGGGGACGAACTGCGAGGCACTATTTGTCATGCTGCTTTTCGAGAGACTCCTCATTCGACTTGTGTGTCAGAATGTGCCGACAATAGCAGCTGGTGATTGGCCATTGTCACAAGGCTGGGTTAATTGCAGGATGACCTTGCATCTCGGCCGGCAGCAGGAAGGTAAACTGAATAGATTGCAAGCCAGATGCATGCAGGAGCGGGATCAACGGCTCAAGCATCCTTCAGCCGACAGTGTGCTTCACAATGGCTGGGGAATCCAATGGGTCTCCTGAAAGTATAATAGACCTGCTTGAGAATGTGATCGAGAGGCTTCGGTAAAATCTTTCAAAGGTCTTACTGGGAAGAGTCTTCCTTCCAGCTTCAGCGTCGACTCAATACCTCAGACCATTCCCTTCGGCACACCTCTGAGCCCGTGCCATCAACACCCGAAACCAGCGAAAATGGCATCCCTCAAGCCTCCTTTCAACGCTCAGACCGCACACGAGAAGGTCAAATTCGCGCAGAAGATGTGGAATACCCAGAATCCAGCGCAGGTGTCAAACGGATACACTAGCGACTGCATTTGGCGCAACCGCGACTTCTTCTTCCGCGGCACACCCAAGATCCAGGAGTTTCTCACCAAGAAGTGGGAGAAGGAGGCTTCCTACCGGCTGAGAAAAGAACTGTTTGCCTTCACCGATGATAAGATCGCCGTGCAATTCTGGTATGAGTATCAGGACCGACACGACAATATGAAGTGGAAAAGGTGTTACGGATTGGAAGACTGGACGTTTGATCGTGAAAGTGGGAAGATGAGGAAGAGAATGATGAGTGGAAATGACATACTCTTGGGTAAGGACGGTGATGGCGTTGCTGTCGCCGAAGAGGGCATCGAGGGAAGGTGGTTCGTTGACGGAATCGATGTTGAGGATGACAGCGTCACGGCCAAGATCACTGAAGCTCACTGGTAGCACCTCTGGCTGATAACAATGTTTGAAGGTCAAAAGGTTCCTGTCAAGGCTGTATTAAAGCGACTTTCTTAGGTTCAACATGATGGACAAGCCAAGCATGGGAAGGGCGGCCCGATAAAACAGGTTCCAAAGCACGCCAACTGTTCTTCGAGGGCCGGTTGTCGATGATATTTCAGGAAACAAGTCGGGCAAAGGGTGCATACCTGGTAGTCATCTGAAATTTAACCTGCCTCATACCCGTGTCCAGGTTCGCAGCTCACTCGGTGAGTCCAATACCAGCCAGAACTCCACGCTAGCACCGGCCAGTTCCATTTGTGAAGCGTTTCATTTGTTAATTCAATGGCAGGTGTCTCAGAGGCTCCTTCCGGAAGATTGAGCCTTCTCCGGTGCAGGTAGACATTCATCACCAGGCTCGGGCGCATTTCCCTCAGGCCCAACAAGTGCCCATCTTGTTTGCATCTAGCTCACGCTCAAGCAAGACACGGGCAGAGATCTTGCCGTCGGGCGCCGCGAACCCAAAGGAAGTTCCACAATTCGGTAGTCCAGGGACTCCGAGCAGGAAATGTGGTCCAGCTGGGATTTCCCATCAGTCGTCTGATAGTTCAATGTAGGGTGATCTTCTACAGTATTCATATCCTCACATGGGACAGGAGAGAAGGTTATATAGGGCCATCATGGATCGCCTAGTCAGACTGTTTGATGAAATCTCGATGAAAGTGAGGAGCGAGGAAGCCAGAGGGGAAGTTGGGGATTGGCCATTTCGGGTTGCACCCTGAATGTCAAATGTTGTGACACACCCCGAACGTTCTTCGACAAGTCACTCTGTGATTTCCTCATTAAAGCCCACACTTCTTAGAGCGCCCACTGTCAGGAGTTCTCCCGAAGCATGATCAGAATCTGCTGGTCATGGACGGAGATGTGGCCGTGGAGCCTGAGGTGGACTCTTTCAGTCTGATTCTTCCGCTCCCTTATAGAGTCGCCATCATAATAGTTCTCGGTAAGCGTTGATGCGGACAACAAAGGCAGTTCGTCGTTACTGATGCGCCATAGGCATATGGGCTTGGGGACTGAACCTGCACTATCTACACCTCATCAAGATTGTGAGCTGAGCGGCCATCTCATGCCAAGTGGGCGTTGAATTGACCTCGTGCGCAGGACGTCCCAGCCTTGATCCGTTACCCTCCTCGTCAAGTTGCGCATCACCACTACTCGGCCTACCGGCTAGCGACCGCCCTCAGTATCCCGCTCGTCTCCTCAATCCTTCTGTACTGGGCTATCACTCGGGGTGACAAGCATGCGGTCCTCCAATGGCAGATCCTGCCCCAGTCCTATCTTCTCCTCCTGGTCGTCTGTTTCCTCGTGCCGCTAAGACGCATGTCGCTCTCAGGCCGGCAGCGCTTTTTGAGCATATTAAAGAGAATCAGTCTTGGTGGACTGGCGGAAGTACAAGATGGAAAGTTCGGAGATATCCTGCTGGCAGACGTCCTTACGAGTTATGCAAAGGTGATGGGGGACTTGTTCGTTTCAACATGCATGCTGTTCGATAGGAAGACCACTAGCACTGCGAAACCCAACCGAGCGTGTGGCGGGGTGTTCTTGGTGCCCTTGATCATCGCTGTACCCAGTATGATCCGGCTTCGACAGTGTCTGATCGAGTATTTCCGGGTGCGGAAGCATCCAACGGCGGCCTCGGGCTGGGGCGGGCAACATTTAGCCAATGCGCTCAAATACTCCAGTGCATTTCCGGTCATCATCTTGAGTGCTTTGCAACGAGGCTACGAACCAAACAAATTCCACATGAGCGAGGCGGGACTGTTTAGGCTATGGTGAGCACAATCTTTTCGCACGCGTGGATGTTCTAACAATGAGCAGGCTGTTGTTTGTGTTTCTCAATTCATTCTATTCCTTTTACTGGGACGTGGCAAAGGACTGGGACCTGTCGCTTTTCTCGTCGAGTCACGAGAGAAATGACCCCGGACACCCCTGGGGTTTGCGCCGTTACCGCTACTTCCACGTCAAAGAGCTGTACTATATTGCCATCTTGATAGATTTTCTCCTACGGTGTACCTGGAGTTTCAAGCTCTCTCCGCATCTGGATCACTTCAATGATCTAGAGGGTGGGATCTTTTTGATGGAGCTGTTGGAAGTTGTGAGACGTTGGATGTGGATTTTCATCCGAGTCGAGACAGAGTGGGTGAGGAACAACAAGGGCCCGGCCCCCGATGATATTCTCCTGGGAGAGTTTGGGGGCAAGATAGATGAAGATTGAGTGAGAGCAATGTGAAACTCATCTGAGACCCCCACTTTTGTATGCAGGTACAGGCCGAGCTCCGCAGCACATGCTCTGCCCACAGCTCATTTTCCCAAATGTTCACCGCATATTTCTCGACTGCCAGCATCTTCACTCAAAGCTCACCAACCACCATGGGCGACGTGAGTTCTCAGTCCCATGAGGACCTTTTCGTCGAAACACCTCCTGCACCTCTTGAGCAGGAGCCTTCAAACAGCGGTGTACGCACTACGAACGTACGCTTAAACATACTAATGGAAGCTCATTCAGTCCCTAAACTCACCTCGCCTCTAGTACCCTGCGATCAAGAATGGCCCTCTCCCTGCCGACGCTGCAGGAGGAGAATCCTTCAACAATATCCTCCTCATCGGTCTCCTAATTGCCGTCCCATGGTACATCGCCCGCCAACTCCATGGCGGGTTGTGGACTACTCTCTTCATCGCGATCTTTACCTCCATCCCCATCCTCATGCTTTTCTGGTCCGTCGCAAGTACGATATCCCCCCGACTGAATGAGAAGGCCAAGTATCCGGGCCTGCCGGTGGAGCACTACCTCGAGTTTCACAGCCAAGAAGATAAGGACAAATACTACGGCAAGAACAAGATCCCCATGGAGACCTTCCACGAGATGTACTTTGACCAAAAAGTCTCCTTCAAGGGCGACTGCCTGGAGGCCCTGGAGTACCGTCACGACTGGGCCAGTTTCAAGTTCACACTTTCGCTGTTCTACTTCTTCTTTACCGGCATGATCCCCGAAGTCCTATTGCACACCCGCAGCCAGGACGAAGAACAAGTACGAGACCACTACGACCGAGGCGACGATTTCTATGCCTGGTTTCTCGGACCCCGCATGATTTACACCTCGGGCATCATCAGCGACATTCACCGCGAAGAGACACTGGAGGAACTTCAAGACAATAAACTGGCAGTGGTGTGTGAGAAGATCGGCCTGCAGCCCGGCGATACACTGCTTGACATCGGCTGTGGCTGGGGCACGCTGGCCAAATACGCGAGCGTAAACTACGGCGCCCACACCA